TTTTTAATGCATAGCAATCTTCCCTTTTCTGTCTGATTCTCAGGCTGAGACCTCCAAATTAAGGTGAATGTGCTGACAGAGTGCTGACTCATTCCACAGTGAGACAGACTAAGAATGACAAAGCCGGGGTTAGATAAACACTCGTCAAAGATGTCCACTTCAAATTCAGTGTCCATTCATAGAATTCCTTAAGATGCCTCATGAGATGCTAGGAAATCTCTCTTTACCAGGGCATGTAACATTTTACATATTCCAGATCCCACTAGCCTTGACTCCTCCACACTCAGGGACCTGACTTTGGTCAGAGAGGAGAGTTGGGATAGTCTCTAAGTACATCATTAAAGCTAAAGGCATTAAGAGTGGTCATGAGGTCAGCAGATAGAGCTCATTCATTGGGTTGGAACATTTGGTCTAGAAAATCCCTGGTGTCGGGTTCATTCCCCTGTTATGGCTCAAAACTGTTAATACTGTTCCAGTGGATATAATGTCCTAGCCTTGGTGGATACTACACGCATAGCACACAGATAAGCATGCAGGGAAACACACATAATACAAAGGTTTTTCAAAATGGCTGCATTGAATACTGCTACAATGTATTGGAGGAAATGGCTTAAATTAAGACTTGGCCATTCAAACTGCTAGAGAGCTCTCTATGACATGAAATAGAGCAATTCAGGATTTAATCACCTGATGGCGCTCATTCAGTGAGATATTAGAATTCCAAAATTGCAGACACAGGGAGGTGTAGTGTTTGCTCCATTATTCACATGACTGACTGGTCTATGTTAAAATGAATCACCAAAGGTTGCCATTCAAGTCAGAATGGTCACTCATGTTGCTTGTGATGAAGTCTCCAGAGATTATGTAGTCATTAGGTCAGCCTTCATGATCTATTTAACTGTACGTTACATTTGGGAGGTGGTTAACAAAAGGAGGGGCCTGTCCAGAGGAGCAGGGTCCTGAAGGTATGCACTTGCAGTATCCTGCCCAGGGCTCTTCCTCTGCTCATTTCTGTTTTCTCTGACCACCATCGGGTAAACTGCTCCACTCTGAAGATATTCTGAACTTTGCTGGGAGTAAGTTTTCCCAGCCTAGGATTTGGAATATGAACAGATAGTCCTTGTGAGTCCCTCCTCTCTGGGGCTCTAATTCTCTCAATTGCCAAAATGTCCCAGCACCTTCAAAAGGTGTTGCCCCACCTAGGGTCAGTGCATTTGGATTCGGGTCCTTCAAGCATCCTGATGACCATGCATGAGGAACCAAATGGATGGCTGCTGTGTAATCCATGCTCCCAGCTGCTCTTAGAGAGAACAGCCTAGGCCTTGGTCAGAGGGGCAAGAACCTACCAATTCTTGCTTTGCTTCCTGCTCAGCTTCTGTGATTGAGGGCTCTTTGAGGGGTGCTGATGATCATTTTAATTTATTGCTTTAAATACAACTGTAAGAGGGTACAGTGAGGCCTGTACCCCACAAGCGGTGGTAACCCTGGTGGTTGCTGTTTCCCTCCCCTCTGCTACCGCTTTGTGGTCCAGGAGCTGCTATAGCCTGGGATGGGGCCATGCCTACCTCTCCTGAGGCCCTGTACCTCGTCTTCCAGCAGAGGGTTTGAGTAAGTGTGCATACTGTGGAGGACAGAGCCTAACTGGAGAGGTCCAAGCCCTATTGACACAGGTCTTTCCTTAGGCCACAAGGTTTGGGCTGGTGGCCCATTTCTATCATGCTGCCTTAATAAAGATTCCAGAATAAAACTTGCTTTGGCTCTTGCAGTCCCTGGGGCTGTGTGTAGAAGTAGGGAGGCACAAGTCAGCTGTCTCAGGTAGGGAACATTTCTTCTTAAAGGCAATGTGGCCCACTTTACCTGTGCACTTCTACAAGTTATGGTTTAAGGA